TTGCTTGCGGACTTCACAATCGAGTACCTGTACACGCTGTGCTGGGACGTGATGGAAAGGATTTTACGTTAAGGCTATGTGGACCGAGTTACCAGAACCTTCGCACGCCATCCACAGATTTCGGTCGCCACCACGACCGCTTAAGGTTGTGCGCTCGCTGTTTCACTGCCTACTTTCTATGGAAATTCCGAACAAAAAAGATGTAGACAGATGGAAAGCCACTGAATTTCGACAATTTGTATTATACCTCCGACCAGCGGTTTTGAGCGCCATTTTGCCGGACGACTTGTACTAAGACTTTCGCCGTCTTTCATACTACATGAAACATATAGTGAAAGTGACGGGCAAATTAATGAACATGGAGCGGACATTTCCGGTGTCGGTGCCTTGGTTTTCACCATGCATTGCCTACAGCATAAATCCGCGGACTTGGATCGAGTTGGTGCCTTTGATTCTTTCTCCAAACTTCCGGTCGAATCATAATTGCAGTGCCCAAGGTGCATGGTGCGAGGCCCTTATATCCCAACCCAGCAAGTATTGCATCGCACTGCTTAGCTTTCGACGCCACCTCTCACTAAGAAGTCCGAGTGTGTTGATGATACGTGTTCCATGACGGTTTGGTGTGGGGATAGCAATAATGCCTGTTCCATGCTGCGGAGTGAGTTTTTACTAGTACGTACCAAAAATCGCAGTCAGTGCACACAATGTACTGGCTGCCGTCATTAATGTCGGGAACTAGGAAGTAGGCAACCAGCTGTATTTGGATCAGGGAGCACTATTCGACCAATTCTGGTCCTCAAGAGGTCTCCGCATTGCTCGGTGCTCCCGGGTACTAACACCACCAAGGTGGATTCCCCAATTCCTGGTCAGCTGCAAGTGTCTTCTCCTTCCACTTGATGTAAACACCGTATGCTACTTGATATTGCACTGCTGGAGTTCAAAATGGAATAACGGAAGCTTATAAAGTAACACGCGCCGTGCGTAGATTGTCCGTTGCTTTTATTTCACGTGTCTTAGAGCACGTGTCAAGCACTTGACTTTATCCCTTGACAAAGCATTGTTCATGAGACGTAACGTCACGGCGAAACGCACAGCGACTTTTGAGGACTGCAACAACTAACATTTTTTTAAGAATTTGCTTTTTCTCTTTCTCTTAATCATGGTTGTAACTACTTATTAAATCGAAATTTTAGATGTTTCATTTCACCGAATGCGAGGACGAAAGCGTAGCCGTTGCACATGCCAGCTGGATAATCGGCGATGATTAGGTTCCTTGGCCAAATTTGCCTCCACGGCAAATAGCGCCTGTTATACTTAACAGCAGTCCGCCACCATTATCAGCACCAAGTTGATCACTCCCTATATGATGACTTCCAGAATAAAATATCTATATAATTATTGTATAATATGAGTACTCATAAGTTAAGCGGTAAGGCTACCATATAATGCACACAACGCTTTGCAGAGGACTATGCTAAAACCAAGAAACTGGAAGGCGTGTAACGTGAACTGTCGCAGGCGTCTTCCAGCGGATCAAATTTCTCCAAGCAGCGTGGCGGGAAATGCTATATGTACGTACAAATAATGCTCAGGCTATTTTCAGCATTCCTCTCCGTTGCCCGGAATGCGAGGCTCCAGTTAAGTATCCACATCTATGTACCTCATACTGTGTGGAAGTTGCTTACGCATTGCCTCCGCCAATTCTATAGTTAAGGGAATATTTACCGGATAGTGACCAAGAGAACTTGGATCCACAGAACAATCCTCCGGTGCTGTCTAGGTACGTGACATGAAATACCACTTAGTGTTATCCCCAGTTCTCTATTCCACCCCACATTATCAGAAACCTTCCGATGATTCATGTTACAGTGTTACAGACGTGTGTAGTAAATTGAGACAAGTAACCCCTTTTACGCCACAACAGTCACGCTTGACCATCTGACGTCTGAATTCGTCAGGATGCATGAACACATTCCTTCCCTGGAGTTATAATGAGCTCCTTGGATCCACTGATGGCCAGCGCTAGGGCAGGAGCCGAGAACCCAGTCTCACTACCGATGAGCTTCGTGGAAGTGCTCAGCCATCTTAACATGGCGGTGGAACCCCAGGACAGTATGCAAAGAATGATAATACGCATGCACCCGCGCTGCACCGATTCGTTTCATATACCACTCCCTTGGAACGCTGCTGTGTGAACTGAATGCTCCTTGTATTGCATCGTAATCCAGTTGGGCACGGCTTCACCTAAGCTGATACTGGTTTCCTGACGATGTTCCTCAAGGCTAATTGAGGCCTTCGTTCAGTATTACACCATTTTAGTTATGCATCTTTCTATTGCCCGCACTTTTCGTCGTAGGTTGTGAACACGCTTATTTTTCGTTGGACCATGCGCTCTACTGAACCTTCTTCGGGTGTTGTAGTTGTACTATGAGCCATTCCTGAGACTTGATGTAAGAAGGCACCGGTAAACCATATATGCGGAAGAAAGCTACGTGGTACCAAAGAACTAGGTAACACTGCATGCAATCATTCATTTACTAGAGTTTACCGACGCTTTCTAGTCTGTGTGTTTGGTTGGTTGTCTCTTGTACGTTGCTTGTTTTTCCAGAGGTTTTCACAGATATGGCAGTTGGCAGGTGCCGGGTCCTCAGCTGTCAATTGCTGCTTCTTCCACAAGAGCCAGCTGCTTTGAAACATTTGACCAATTCTCCGGGACCTCGACAATGAATCATCATTCCGACACTTCCAAGTACCTTCCGAATGGATCAGACTTTTGGCAATTTAGTGAGATGCCGCTTGCACGGGGTCAAAACAAATAGGTTTAGCTAGCCTCGCAAGCACCGCCACAAATTAATTATGGGCATTATGTCTGCACACGGATCCATTGTTTCACCTATCGCAATTACTTTACTTAACACTAACAACTTTGCTGCCTCACACTGGCATTCGAACACACGGGTTCGGCGCCCTACATTTCTGCAAGAACTTTTGATATTTCTCTTCTCTGGAGCTCTGCTGATGGAATAACTCGGAGCCACTACTAGACATGAAGATAATTTCTCTTGACAATGAGTTACCTATGGAGGAACGCTTTCCTCTTCTGTGGAGAACTTGTGCTTTTAAGTAGCCTTACTTCATGGATTCGGCTCTAGTATTCCCATTATTATAACCACGATCTGTAAAGGATTAATGCGAACTTCCTGTGGATCCCGCATTTACATTAGGCATCGCATTTTCGCCAAGGATGAATTTAGACACTAGAATCAACTGCACTCACCACCTCACACTTCTAGTGTGGCTACCTGGACATGAATTCTTCAGGCCAGGAACGGTATACCAAAGATGGAAAATCCGGAGCATTACTTCAAATTTCTTACTCGTCTGCACAATCCTTCACCCTACTTTCCTGCAGACCTCATTTCTATACCGGTTTTAACAAATAATGGCGGACCTGCACTAAGCGATCCGGTTAGCCACCACAGAGTTGCATGTCGTATGACTGCGAACAGTAGTGTAGAATCGGTCGGTAAGATTCCTTGCCAGTTATACGTTACCACTCAAACGGATTGAGGGCAGTGTTCCAAGACTTGGTGGATTTCCGCCTGGCAAGCGTTCTCCTTATAAAAAGCCACAAAGGTCCGCATTTCAAACCAGAGACCTTGCGGATTGCCTGACATCTGGATAAACTCACTGCTCACAAACGCACACTGGCACGTTAACCATAGGGATACTTACTATCATTTCAATATATTTTGGATATGTACACGAGAAAGACACTGCTCTGGTTTTACATTTCGACTCCACACAATCTGTTTCGCTTTTACACCTTTTGATCCTAGACTTTGCCACATCATTAAAGCTTCCGTTCCAAACCAGAGCATCCGCCATTTCGGTAACTTCTGTATGTTGCGCGAGCAGCGCCTTTCAAGCAAAGCAACGTGACTGCGGTGAAAAAATCGTTTGTAAAGTCTCGATCATGACAGGTTTAGTGGGCATGGTAGGATACGAGAATAAATTATTTATTTATTTATTTAATTTTGCAGCCATTGAACTCTGTTTGTCCGATGCTTTAGAACTACATTTCAACATGCCCATACTAGATTGCCGCCCACCACTTGTAGACTTAGTAGTAAGCGTAGGATTCAACCATATCGGTTATCTCTATCTGTCCGTATTTTAAACATAAATTACAATTCTTATGTGCCGTCTGGTAATCAATATTCATTGGACCAACATGCGCTAGCTGAAGCAGTACTCCGCATACAGCGTATCAGTGCATTTATTCATGGACAGAATGTATCTGTGTGTGCCACAAACACTGATCGATAGCGATCATACACAAGTAATATGCCACTTAAGTAGTGACGGAGAGTGTTGAGGCAACTGAGCCCAAGCGAATTGCAAATTACTGCAAGGTACTGCGAGCTAATAGCCAAGAGGGGAAAGCGACTTAATACAATTCCCCTGGCAAAAGCATTTAACTTGAGCCTACGATGTGTGAAAGAACTGGGCGCTAAAGAACAAGGCAGGTATTGCAACAGAATGAATGATTAGGCATTTCCAGTTCACCGCAAACATTTCCAGTTTGCGTAGTGCATAACAGATTTTACGAGGTTGCGTGTGACTACACAACATTTGCAGTACCGTGGTGCGGTGATTGGACAACATCCGGGGGTTTCTGAATGTTGTATGCTAGCCAAAACGCGATTCAGCTGCGACCGAAAAAGTAACTTACAATCTTTGCAGTTGTTCCGGTTAAACTGAATGCGTAAACACAAAACAAGGCCATTGCTCCGAAAATAGTAACAAATACCTGGACGCAGCGTGTGAACTAATTACGAACTACTGCCATGCAGTCGCAGTAAATTGATCAACTAACACATCCCCTCAACTAAGGTTTAGAAAGGACATTTTTGCGGTATTTTATTGGTACAAGCTTAACAATGAATCAATGTTAAATATATAAATCACGTTGTTATAGTGCACTTTTTGTTCCAACCTTAAATGTGAGTTGGTACGGGGCTATTTGCATGAACTGGTGACCTTGATAGTACACGGTCATTCAACTGCAGTTGTTGCGCGTTGGTGTCCCTGTAGCAAGTCAGCATGTAAGTTGTCGTCGTGTAGCCTATATTGTGAGCGTCCTTTCCTCTTCTCTGTGCTCTCCCAATTCGTCTTTGATCTTGTTGTAATATCCAACCGCCGTACGCTTGCACGTCATCTAGTCGTCTTGCGCTCTGTTCTCTTACGGCATCTGTGACAGTTCCGCCCAACTAGTTACGAGATGTGACACAAGCACATCATCTATCCAGCTCCGACACTTACTAAGTGGTTTCCCAGCCTATGAAGTATTCTCTTCTACCTTTCAGCCCCCTCGGTCTACTACGACCCTGTAACCAGGAGTCCTCGGAACGCACGACCGAACACATATTACACAGTATACGGATTGTAGCGCCTTGTCCTGTTTTCGGACTACGTGGGATGAGTGTACACCAATTTGTCAAGAAATTTAGTGTCCAGTCGGTTGGAGATGAGCCACGACGAACAAGGGTTTCCATAGTTCATGACTATGATGAAGCTTACGGTATGCAAAATCTTTAAAGTGCTCCATACGTGAAGCGCCAATATATGTTTGCTTTTGAGGTTTTACGTGATCACTTTTCTGCACCTCTCACTTTTTAAATGATTTATTCTGTATATTGTATTATTTTGTCCCAATCCATCAGCTTAGCTTCTCTGTCAAAAAAATTTCTACGTTACTAACAAAGTCTAAATCCAACACTGAGTAACACACTTCATGCAATGAAAGACAGTGTGTCAATTGCTGCCAACTGCCTGTCAGCCTAATTCAAGCCTGGTGTTTAGGTAGCGTTTCACTGCTTAAGCAACAAATGAGAATCCGTTGCTCCCTTATATGTACCCGTTGACTAGTAGATCAAAATATATCTGGGTCATGTTCGTTATAGCCACATTCATGTGCAAGAGTGCTGATTTTGTGGGTTTCATGAATACGAGTAAGCTTTGTTTCTCGGTGGTTCTGCCTCTAGGTCTTACGGCAGGGTCCTGTTGTTCTCGCTAGGTTCCAGGGGTTGTAGAATGCGACTCAGTTGTGGTGTTGGGCGCAGGTATCCAGCGTCTTGATTGTGAGGAGGTGGCTGTGTGGAAGAAATGGGCTAGTGGGCAAGTAAACGGCCGATGTTGGCGGTGTTATTGCTTTGCTAGTGAGGGCGTAGACGTGGCAGTACGGGGACTTGAAGGTGTCAGACAGTGTGTTAATTCGGTATAAATAAAGGTAACTAAGAGGAGTGCCGCAAGCTAGCGTGTTAAATGTAATGACCCTACCGGATAGCTTAGCGAATGGTCTTAGTCTTTTAACTTGAAAAGCCGGAAAGGCAAGTGCCAACCATTTAGGCATCGTTTGAAGGCCTATGTATTATGTGCAGAGACAACAGTCGCAGGCAGTGCGTTTCAGCCGAAGGCGATATGCACACTAAAGCTGGTTATTCGGCATTGAAGCCGACTACTGCAAATCATGAGTTTGGGCGTGTACTATCTTAGATGGTTTGTGCGGGGACGAACGAGTAAGTCGGTATTTGGGTGCATGTTAGTCAGAATACTTTAGGCTAGGATGAGATCACCACAAAGCCTACGATGTTGCGGTGGGAAGAGTTTAAGGACCACTAGACGCTCTTCGTACGGGAGATGGGATAATCCCACCACTCTCTTAGTGGCTCTGCGCTCTACGGTTTCCAGCACCGCCTCGTCCTCCTTCAGATACTGCGGTTGGACCAATGTATTGTACTCTAAGAGCGGGGTACCAAGGTGCTATAGAGGTGGACAAGTACTTCTTTAGAGCGTGACCCGAGGATAAATCCCTGGGGCATTCCGGTCATCGTAGCCAGAGCGCTGGAGACTGCGCCATTTTCAATCCCCAAACTCGGTAGTTTACTTAAGAGGACTGCGTGATTAACCTAGTCATTGCGTTGAACAATCTAAATAAACCACGTCAGTCGGAGTATGACTGTCTGCCACTGCTGTCCAGAAATCAAGGGCTGCGCGAAAATTCGGGGTGCACCGGTGACCTCTACGGAACCTGTTGCTCCAGCGTTATTAGGGCCCGGCTTTCTAGATGGCAGCGCAGAGCATAGTCTATGTTGCCCTCCATTACTTTGGAGGCAGTGGGAAGCAGTGCTGTCGGGCGGTAATTATAAGGGTTTGTTCGGTCACCACCCTTGTATATCGTTGTTCCTACCCCTTGTTTCCAGGTGTTGGGATATTCTGCACTGGTGTGGGAGCGGCTGTACAGTGAGGCAAGCGGTTCGGCCAGTACGGAAGCACGCTCACGCAGAAAAATTGGGGATCCCATCCAAGCCCGGCATTTTGTTAATAATTAAGTTTGTTAAGTTTTACAGGACTTTCTTTGGCGTAAACTGTACTTAATGCATAGCAGCGCCGGAAGTGAAATTACCGTTTACTATTGCGTGCGTACTGCGTGCCGTGGTTCTAATGTCGGACACGTACTGAGCATTTAACAGCTCTGCAGCTTCTTTGTCCGACGTTGTATTGTTGCCGTTGGGTCTGAGCAGGCACTACATCAGCCATTTGAACTGATGCTTCGCTGCCATACAACCATGATAACTTATGGAATAAAGAATAATAAGAATGAGAGAATGGGGACTTAACTGAAAACCTTAACGCCCTAATCAATCCTTCAGGGTGCAGGCGCCTACACCTTGTGTAGACAACATACCGTCACAAACAGCTGGCCGTCGTACAAATATTAGGCAACATCGGCAAGACAGCTTCCTTGCAGCTTTCATTGTCCGCGTCCTAATCAGCCATTACCCAGTGGATAAGTTAGCACCGAACACACTTCATCCTGGCAACCCGACTAGGAGACGGCAGCATACTCGCCACGGGTATCGATTGCGACTCACGTCGACTGTTCTCGAGCCAAACACAAGATGAGTCACGTGGACCCGTGCTAGGAAGGCAAGATGGACCAAGAGCACCCAGTTTGGCCGTCAGTGACTTCATTTCCCGCTGCCAAGTCAACTTTTGTCCACGTCGAGCCTTGCGCCGTCCTACACCTGACAGACTAAACAAGGCCCTCCTAGGTAAGCGGTGACCAGGCATACGTAGCACGTGACCGATCCAACGCAACTTATTCAGTGCTATCTGTTGTTCTATGGAGTTAGCATGATTTTCACTTCAAAGTACTCACTTACGCACATCATCGTTGCGGACACCACTGTGCCATCTGACACCAGCAATGTTTCGCAGACAACGATGATCAAAGATTTGAAGGCGCCTCTGATCTTCAGACCGAAGGAGCCAAGTTTCAATACCATAAAGCAGAACGGCCCTCCCTGTGGTCTTGTATACACGGCCTTTCTGACGGAGCGAAATAACCTGTCGCCAAAGATGCCGCAAGTTCAAGAAAACAGTTCTGGCTTTTACAATGCGTGAACTGACTTCAGTTTCTATGCTCCCATCATTGCTGATGCGGCTGCCAAGGTAAGTGCTTTGATCAACCACCTCGTGTTCCTCGTTATCAAGCGTCAAGGGGTCATCAAGTGGTTGGTGGTCCTGCAGCAACACTTTACACTTTGAAGGTGCAAATAATGAAACCATTCTAGACTGGCTTTTCAGGCTTAATTGTGTCTCCACCACATCGTCGAAAAGCAAGACGATCTTGTCTGCATAATCACGATCAACTAACCTTTCACCAGTCAGGACCTAAACGCCTACATCGTAAGATTCCGCAAGGGAATATTCCATGATAGAGTCCACAACTAAATGGAACAAACTGGGGAAATCGGACAACCCTGACGAACCCCACTTGGGTTCGGAAAGCCATCCGACAGCTTACTTTAGTACCTGACGCTGTCTGTAGTGTTTGAGTATAGAGCACGTAGCACGTTCGCATATTTCTTGGGAACACCTTTTCGCGCAAGTAACTCGAACAGAATGCATCGATCGACCGAATCGAACGCACTCTTGAAATCGAGGAACACAGCTATTGTCGGTCTGTGGTATGCGTGGCGCTGCTCTAGCACCTGCCGCAAAGTGAATATATATGGTCTATCCAGCCACGTCCTGGTCGGAAACCGGCCTGCTATTTTCTAATCCAGGATTCCCGTTCTGCATTGAGTCGACAAACGAAAATCGAGGCCAGTAGTTTTGTCACGACTGGCGTTAGGCTAATACCCTTGTGATTAAAACAGTCTGTGCGACTGCCCTTCTTGCATATTGCCACTATAATCAATTCGCTCTAATTAGCCGGGAAACTTCCTTCCAGATGCGTTTGAATAGGGAGGTCAGTGCTTTGCAGTGAACCTCACCTCCATCCTTAAATATTGCAGGTGGGCGGGAATCCGGGCCAGCGACACGAAAACGATTGAGGGCTGTGATCGCTTGTCAGACCTCGGCCTCCGACAGAGGCTCTAAACTAACGGTCCATGGCTCGTCTTGCATCACCTGAGTAGGAAGTGGTCCGGGAGCAGGGGGCCAGTTGAACTGATCTCGAAAGTGTACCGCCCAACAAGCCATACGGCGCTCCTTATTTTGTATCAGTGCACCCGCGCTGTCTCTGGCTCACTGACGCCTGGTTTCTTCATCATCATCAACAGCAGTACATCATCATTTGAACTGACGCTTCGCTGCCATTCAACCATGAGGATCTACGAAATAAAAAATAAGAAGTGTGAGAGAAGGGGGACTTACCTGGAAACCTTAGTGCCCTAAGCAAACATTTAGACTCAAGGCGCCTACCTCATCATTATCACCATTATACACGTCATCTAAAGGTTGGAAATACCTCAGCTACTCTGCTGCAATACATAAATAAAAAAGGAAAATAAATACAAAGTTACATGCCAACTGAGCTACCAGCAACGGATAGGCATCATTCCGGTAAGCCACTAGCAGGCTACTAGGCAAGAAGAAAAAAATATTGTTTTACACTGCGAAAGGAGATCGTAGGTGGAGTGGGAGGCTAAAATCAATGAGGCGGGACAAAGAAACTCACAGCACAAACGCCACTGTGGTCGGCTCCTTGCCATGTCAGCAAGTGTATCCAGCCAAACGTGTTCACCGTCTTTTGGACCCCAACCAGGGAGCAGTGACGTTCCAACCGAGGCCAGCAGAGAAGTAAGGGCCTTCATTCCTCTTGACCAAGTCATCGCTTGGCCACCCCTCCTCTTCTTCCATCCACATCCCCGGTGAGCAAACAACGCACGTGGTAGAAGTCGATGGGCTGGCATGCGCAACACGTGGCCCAGCCATCGGAGCCTGGTGCGTGAAATAACGGTGCTGAGCTGTTCAGTTCGTTTTTCTCTGCCGTAAACAAGGCGTCCAACACGCTCGTTACTCACGCGGTGTTCCAGCCAGATGTGAGCCAAACTGCGAAGGCACCGATGGTCAAAATTAACTTGCCTCTTCATGTCCACCGATCTCAGGGGCCAGGTTTCGCAACCGTACAGTGAGGTCAAACGTACCGCTGCATTGTACACTGTGCACTTCAGGGCGAGAGTAATGTCGCGCCGCCGCCATAGGTGGCGAAGGTTAGCAAAAGCACTTCGA